ACTATAACATTGTGAGCTTTGAAAAGTCAGGTTTTGCAGCCAGCCCAGTAGTTGTTGAGACAAGGACCAATCCAGCGATCTTGCCACATCTGGACATCAAATTGCTATGTAGAAACTGTATTAAGTCTGAGCTCAATCTCCCTAGAGACCTATGTAGTATAAGGGAGAGTGTGCCCCAAGGTGTTGAGGGGAATTGTTCATACTTTTCTCAATGATGTTTCCTTGAAGCAAACATTCCTTCTGTTGTGAATTAGTTGTTAATTAATTGATGTTAAGTAGTTAAATGGAAGTGGGGCCTAGTCCTTGGAAGCTAACAGTGGGAGGAAGATGCCTGGAATGACAGCGTAAGCCTATGGCACTAGAGCGAGGACAGGCCAACCCCTCAGGGACACCCCTAGAACCCTCAGGGAGAGATGTGGAAGCCTGGCTCTGAGAGGATGAGGCCAGAGAGAGATACTCACTGCATACATAAATGACTATGTTACAAGAAAACTCTTCTAAGACCTTGTATTGATAAACATATCCAGCACTTGACAGCCTTGTTTTGGGATATGAATGTACATTTTCCACTGGAATAATCTTAGGCGTTTGTCCAGGGAAATGTATATCAGCTTCTGTGCCCCTAAGAGAGTTTGGATCCCTATCTTGGTACCTGCAGGTGACCTGAGAAGGTCAGGGGGTTGGTTCAAACTGTTCAGTTTACTAAAGTTCACCAATGAGAACTTCCTGTAGATTATTCTTCAGAGACTCAGCTGAAAGTATGGTTCTGGCTAGGCACGGTGGTACCTACCTGTAATCCCTGCTACGGGGGAAGCTAAGGCAACTGCCATTGCTTCAGCTCAGGAGTTCTGAGCTTCAGTGGTTAAAGTGAATTGGTGTCCTCGTCAAGTCTTGCACCCATATGGTAAGCCTGTGGACGCAGGAGGCCACCAGGCTGCCTAAGGAGTGACAAACTGGCTCAGGTTGGAAATGGAATAGGTCAAAGCTCTGGTGCCAATCAGTGGTTGGGTCAGGCCCATGAGTGTCCACTATATTTCCAGCCTGGGCAAGATAGGGAGACCCAAGGGAGAATGGGAGAAAAGAGAAGGGTGGGGAGGGAAGGGGAGAAGAGAGGAGAGAAAAGACAGAAAGCGAAAGGAAAGGAAGAGAAGAGGAGAGGAGAAGAGAAGGGAAAATGTAGTTCTGAGGCCTCCAGATGTCTCTAACAGTGAGAACCACTGGACAAGAAACAGCAGCTCACACAGAAGATAGGGGTGACCAGATTGGCCCTACTCACAGTATCTCACAAGGTTGTTATGAGGACAAATTAAGAATGTATGTGAAAATGTTTAATAAAGTATCATGCTCTCTATAGTCAGGGGTTATGATTATGCACAGGTGGCCAAGTAAAATGAAAGTACCCATCTAGGAAAAGGAGGTTATGTTTGTCCTTCTTCACTGAGAGTCTGTGTCATCAGAGGAAAACCCTGTGTAAATATTTCCTCCATTTATTCCCTCCTCCTTATTAGTCCTCCGAGAGCCGCACACCTTTCCCAAAAGGCAAGACAAATTTTGCAGAACCAAGAATTTTTCCATAGCAGAGGCTCCTTACAGGCATTCCTGCCTTCAACTGGATGAGAGAACATTAGGGGGCCATGATCTTTCAGGTGTAGTCAATCATTACATTGCTGTCAACAATGAATCACTGGACAAGTTCCCCAAAATATACACACATACCACAGATGCCAAGGCGATCACCTGCCAATAAACCTAACTGTATGTGCTCTGTGTGAGAAGCTCAAGTTCACTTCATTACCTCATGTCTTGCTGGTTTTGTGTCATTCTAGTTCCTGGATACCTATGTACCCATTGCCTTGCTCAGACCCTGTTGTAACCATATTGGATCCCTGGTTCTTGACCCCATGCTCTACTTTGACAACCAGGCCTGGGTTCTTCCTTGATCTGATTCTCTCCAATGACTAGCCTTTGTTCCTTCCTCCCACCCTGACTTTCCTGAGCTTTCTTGGTTCTCATACTCTGCCTGGCTGAGTGACCTGTGGTCCCTACACTGGCATATTCTTCCCATCTCCATCTGACTCTTTCACAGCACCCGAGGGGAACTCACTGAGCGAAGGCAAAAGTGAAACTGACAAGTGTCATGTCATTTTGGGGAGCAATTTTCACAATTGTAATATTGGACCTTAGCTAGAAGGGTCATCACGATCTTCTCCCTTCATGAGCATGAGATTTTACCACCTAAGGGGTAGTTAGCCCACTGCCCAGGCTACTCTTGGGAGCTGCAACTAAAGCCTAGAAGTGAGCACTCTCAAAAAAAAATAGTAATTTTAACCATTATGATTATGTTGATGTGAGGAGAGGTCATTTATAATGAATTTGGACATTTAACTCCTCTGAACTTCACTTTTCTCATTTGTAAAATGAGAATGTCTTAGATATCTAAGGAGGCTAGACCAGAGGTCCTTTTCAGACATAAGGTCTACAATGAACTCAATTCAATATGCATTTATTAAGCACCTACTATGTACCAAGTGCATTGGGGATACAGAAGTGAAAAATGACAGCTGTGGAAACTCGGAGTTCACATATATAAGTAAGGTCCTCTTGACTCTCTTAACATTCTTGTGTCATGAGCCTCTTTGGTGGTCTTGTTGAGTCTGTTGACCTCATCTCAGAAAAAGGTTTTTAAATGAACAAAATAAAATATGTAGGATTAAAAAGGAAACCGATTCTGTTGAAATACAGTTATCAAAATGTCTTTTTAAAACAAGTCCATCAATGCTAGGTTAAGAACTCCTGACCTAGACCAAACCATATGCAATCTGGAATCCTCTGGTAAGCAGTAACTCATGGATTCGTAGGATATCAGAACTATAAGGGAGCACAGGACACTGCATGAGACCTGGAGGCATGTTGGAATACAGAACATCAGACCTGGAAGGAGACTATAGATCGTTAAATGTCAGAGCTGAGAGAGGGCCCAGAACATAGAATAAAGACTGTCAAAGTTGGACATTCATTTCTTTTTCCAGAGGAGGAAACTCAGTCTTTAAAAGGCATGATAACTCACTCAAGGTCAAATAGCTTGTCAGTGGTTGAGACAGTGCTATAACCCAGCTTTCCTGAGTGTTCTTTTTACCCGTAACCTCCCTCCTGGCTCTCAGTTAAGAAATTTTGCGCTTATTCTTTGCTTAGTCCCTCTCTGACTTTTACAGTGAGTTACAGGGAATAAAAAATTAATCCACCTTTATTTATTTTAGCAACCTGTCTGTGTCCAACCCGATTTTTATGTCCTCAACAAACAGCAATTTTGTTCTCCAGTTTCATTTAGTTCCCTATATCAGTGGTGTGTATAACTGTAACATCGGTACTATTAATAAGCAAAGCCTTGAAAGATTCTGTGATGCTGTGAATGGAAGGTCAGAACCACACGTCATTCTGTGGGTTAATTTGTTCAGTAGAATGAGCCTTGGGACTGCTACCCACAGCAAAGTTATTGAAGCAGATTTAAGATACAGGGTGGGCGACACGGAGGCTGCAAACAGCCCCGAGCCTGGGTCCAGGTCGGAGCCCTGCAGTCTTCATGGGCTGACTTCTTCCACCAGGATTCAGAAAGAGAGGCCTTTCATACGTGTGAGAAGGCAGATAGTCTCAGTGGGTCATTAACATTAGACAGTTAGGTAATGGCAGTTCCATGGCCAATATACCAGACCCCCCTTTCCTCATTTTCACACACAGACTCTCAAGGGTGTCCTGGGAATTGTAGAATGTCATGTTGGTGAGTTTAAGGTGTCTAAAACTGAGTGGATTAAAGAGTCCAGAGTTAACTGAGGTAAGCAGTTTGCTTTTACCATTCAAATAAAGCAGTTAGGGCAAAACCTCTTGGGCCCATCTGGGCTTAGAGAGGGAGGAGATCTTGTGACAAAAACATGACAGTAACCTTGTCCCCCTTACTCTCCTCAGAAACGACCCCCAGATGTGATAATTTGCATGAAGGGATCTCATGCATGTGTGTGCGAGGGGATTCATGGCAGGATTATCATCATCCAAAATGGAGGCAATTGAACCATCTTCTATCACTCTGGGGAGACTGGCTAGAAGTTTGAAGATACATTAAAGCAGCAGCAGCAACTTGGTCTGGGACTATTCTATTGATACTTCAGAAATGGAAGCTGAGAGCAGGGTATGTGGCCAGGCCAGCTTAATTGAAAGGGTGAGGGGCTCCTGGGCTGGGGCAGGTACCACACAATGGTGTGGGCACCATTGGACGCTGAATGGCTGCTGTTGACATGGCAGATCTTGGAGCTGTCTAGCTTCCAAGTGGATTTGGGTCTGGGAAGATTGAAGATGTGGCTAAGAAGGGTTGAGTGGAGTCTCTAATCGCCAGGACACCAGCCATTTGGGATTAACTTGGTCCCTGTTTTATTTGTTGGGGGCCCAATGATAATAGCGCTGGGGTGCCTGCCTGGTGGCCCTGGGCTACTTGAGCTCCAGTCAACACAGCCTCTCCACATACCCTGTTCTCAGTTTCTACTTCCGAAATATAGAAAGGAGGAAATAATAATTATTTGTTATTGTTATTAGTAGTAATAACAACAGTCGGCATTTGAAGAGCTCCTTAAGATTATGTAAAGCACTATAACCCTGTCTGGTAGGAACTATCGTCATCTCCGTTTTATAGCTGACGGAATTGAGGCTGAGTGAAGTTGAAGGGCTTTCCTGGGATGATCACACCGCTAGGAAGTGTCTGAGGTAGAATTCGAACTCAGGTCTGTCTTTACTCCAAGTCCAGGCTTTATCCACAGGGGCCGCTAGTACATATATCTAGTCTCAGGCCAAGCTACTTCAGTCTCTGAAATGGTTCTTCCAACTTCTGGCAGCTCCCAAAAGAGGACACTTGGAGTCAGCTGACCTGGGCAGACGTCCCAGCAGAGCCACTGATGAATTCCCCGATCTCGTGCGAATCCTTTCATTTCATTGTCTCTCATTTTTCTTGTCTACAGAGTTGGGATGATAACACTTGAACTACTATTCTGACTTCACAGATTATGAAAGAACTGCACGGCAAATCTTAAAGTTCTATGTAGATGTGAATTGCTATTACCATGCTAGAGGGTCCTAGAATGGGAAGGCATCTCATGAGGTAATAAGAGATCGTTCATTTTGGACCTGGAACAAAGAACTGGAAACAAAGGAGGTACTCAACAATTTGGGAATGGCTACACAAATTTCGGTGCAGCATAAAACAGTAAGCGCGAAGAATTTGAAGAAGCATGGGAAGGTGGTGCAAATTGACTTATAGGAACCAATGGAAAAATTAAAACAAGTGTAACAATGTAAATGATAGGGCAAAACAAAAAAAAAAATAAGAAGAGGAAGGGAATGGAAAGGAAAGAAGAGAAAAGAAAGAAAAGAGAAAAGGAAAGGAAAGAAGAAAAAAGAAGAAAAGAAAAAAAGAAAGAAAAGAAAAGAAGGAAGAAAAGAAATTGAATGCTATGTGATTAGAATAACCAGGCTTGGCGCTGAAGAAGAGATGAGAAAACTTTCTTCTGGTATTTGCAGAGGTGGGAGGTTATGGGTGTGGAACATTGCATAAACTCTGATTTAATTGATGTGTTGGCGAGTTTTGAACTGACCTCTCTCCCCCTTCTCCCCACCCCTCCCCCCTTCTCAATTCTTTGCTAGGTGGGATGGCTCTCCAGGTAGAGGAGAGGGTAGAGATATGATTGGAAATGAAGATGATATTGAAAACAAAAGATATTAATAAAATTTTAGAAAAAAAGATTTAGAGTTGGAATAAATTTCAAGCCCCTCATTGTATGTAGGTGGAAACTAAGGCTAGAGCAGGGGTGGGGAACCTTTGGCCCTTTGACCGGATCCAAACTTCACAGAACAAATCCCTTTAATAAAAGGATTCAATCAAAGGACTGCACTTGACCTTGAGGGTCACAAGTGGCCTCGAGGCCTCAGGTTCCCCACCCCTGGGCTAGAGCATTTAGGTGACTTGTCCAAGCTTACACACATAGTAAGTAGTGGATCTTCAATTCAAATTCTGGTTTTTTGTTTTTTTTTTTTTTACTCCAAATCCAGGGAGTCTTTCAGTATTCCATGTGGCCAATTTTTAAAGGCAGAAGGAATCCTAGAGCTCTACTTCTTCTACTTCACTTTACAGAAGAAGACACCAAGAACCCGGGCAGGACAGTGTCAAAGGTCATGGACCAGAGTTGGGGACTGGAACCCACTCCACTCCTTCCGACTCCCAGCACAGTGATACACACACACACACACACACACACACACACACACACACACACACACA